ACCACAGAGCAGGACAAAAGGGAAACTGATAAAAGACAGGGTAGGGGAAAGGATCCTGAATGGATCTGCACCTCAAACAGGGCTCTTTGAAGGAAAGCTATTTAAATCTGTGCTGCTCCTAATATTAATGATCCTGAACACCTCACAGGCTCAGATTCACATGCTACAAGAACACAAAGCCTTTTAATTTTCCTACCTGTCCCTGGCATCACTGACAATAAATCAGATATACAGAGAAACCACACATGACTAACAAACCAGCCCATTAATGGGGAGCAAAGATCATTTGCCAAGACGACTTATTCAGACACTGTCACATATCATAACCAGCAAATCCCAGAGGTTGAATGCAGCAGGCACGGAGGGCAAGAGCTAGGTGCTCCCTGCCAAGTCATAGACACGCTCCAGGCACCTGCTATCCAGGCATGAGAGATTTACTCATGAGTGCCACCTCCACACTCCCTCAAAGTTAGACTTGCACTCGGAAAATTACTGCAACTTCTAAAGGCCTCTTGGGTCACTGAGTTGCTAAAACCCCAATCCTGACTGTAGCTCTTACTCTGAGCCTTTTTAGAATCCCAACCTGGTCCTATACCAGAGCAAGTGAGGGCCAGTTAGAAGTCCAAACTTCACCTCCATGCAGCCTACTTAGGTAGTTAATCCTCACTTGACTCCACACCTCTATAATAAAATAACATTTGTTTTCTGTTTTTTGAGTAGGAGTCTCACTCTGTCGCCCAGGCTGGAGAGCAGTGGCATGCTCATGGTCACCGCAGCCTCAATCTGCTGGGTTTAGGCACTTCATCTGCCTCAGCATTCCAAGTAGCTGGAACTACATGTGTGCACCACTACACTTGGCTAATTTTTTTATTTATCAGAGACAAGGTCTTACCTACAGGTTCTTGGCCAGGTTGGTCTCGAATCCGTAGGCTCAGGCAATCCTCTCACCTCTGCCTCCCAAAGTGCTGGGATTACAGGCATGAGCCACCGTGCCCGGCCAAAAATAAAATTTTATAATTAAAAAAAAAGAATTCCAGGCACCCTCAGGGAGAAGACCCAGCCTCTACCATCAGTAACCATAACTGTTAGTTTATAGAGTTTTTTTTTTTTGAGTTGGAGTCTCACTCTGTCAACCAGGCTGGAGTGCAGTGGCAGGCTCACGGCTACTGCAGCCGCGACCTGCTGGGCTCAGGCGATCCTTCTACCTTAGTCTTCCAAGTAGCTGGAATTACAGGCATACATCACCATGCCCAGCTAATTTTTTTGATTTATTGTAGAGACAAGGTCATGCCATGTTGCCCAGGCTGGTCTCAAACCTGTGGACTCAGGCAGTTCTCTCACCTCCACCTCCCAAAGTGTTGAGATTACAGGCGTGAGCCACCATACCCAGTCAGTTTATAGATCTTTAATGGAGCCATTCATTAAAGTATTTGAGTTCCAACTAAATGTCAGATCCTATACTAGGTGCTTGGGCAGATTCACAAACAAAACAGTAAACAGGTGGGAATGGGGGAGAGAGGAGAACCCCCTCAACATCAGCCTCTTGGTTTTACCATAAAGACTGAGGCCCAGGAATTTCCCTCCAAGGTCAGAGTTGATGGCATAATGAGGACTTGAATCCAGGTTACATTCTTAGCAGAACTGCTGCTGCATATAGCAGCGTCTAAGAAAACCAGGACAATGGCATGGGTATGATGATGAAATCCAACCCATGCCCTCCTGGCCCACCCTGCACTCCGGAGTGGGGCTTACCTGAAAACACCATGTGGGCTACAGGCAACCCCAACTCCACTAACAGTGCTCACTGCCACAGACTATCCAATTCCCTTGAACAAAAGCCCCCTTCACTGGAAAAAACAACTATGGTTTCCTATATCAGCAACCAAAATTGTCAGTAGGACCCAGGACAGTCTGAATTCTTTCCTTAGGACATAATCTTTCATGCTATCAATTGTCAACTTTCATCATGTGTGAGAGAAAGAAACTCACCTATGGATGACGTTCCCCATTTCCTATACTATCCTCAGACCTGGAAGGGAAGGCTGCTGCCAAGCCTTTCTCCTTAACATTCCAGTCAACACCTTCACTCTTCATGACTCCAAGCTGAGGATCTGTCACCGTCCAATCCCATCTCCAAAACCCAACATGCGGGACAGGAATAATTAACTTCCTCAACTATTTGAATATCTACTCTTGGCAAGGTGCTAGGGATACAACAGTTGAACACCACCACACCACTGTCCCTGACTTCATGGAACTAAGAGATGGTGAAAACAGAGCTGGGAAAGCCCAACTACTGAGTCCCTGACCCGACTAGCACGACAGTCCACTTAGGGACCAGGACAGGGGGCAAGAGTGTCTACTCCTGCAGAAAGGCCCAGGAGTTTCAGTGCAGTTTCAGCTGCACTGAAACTCCAGTCCATGTCCTCTGGGTCTCCCCTCTCTACCACACCGTTTTTGCCAAGGTTCCAAAATTGGGAGGTAAGGAAAAATAGTTGGTTCTAGTGACAGAGTGTTTCCCGATGCAGATATGCCCAGAACCTGCAGCTTTAGCCCATCTTATCAGCACAGACCTAGTGCCCGTGTCCATCTCTCAGAATATGCGTAAATATACCTTGTTGATCTAGAGCCTGGGTGTCCAGTTTTCATTCACGCTCATTTATCACCCTCTTTGACTCACTCTTGATATTTAGTTTCACTTTACAAACCTCATCTTATAAGAACAGGGCCCTTTTTATCTGATGCTAGCTCTCCCTCTGCTCCTCGGATCTAATCAATCCGTGTCTGGAAATAAACAAACCAGAGAGGAAAGCAACAGTCCCTATTGTGAAAACAGGCACCTTTCTGAAATGATCTACCCTGAGCATGACGCAAATAGAAATTTAAATGAGAAGGAAATAAAGACACCCTCCAGCAACAGTTATCTGCATTCCTCATCAGGTGGGACAGCAGGAATGCCAAGTTAACAACCAAACCAAAACCCTGCCCCACAGTTCTCAGGGTGGGCAAGAAGCTTGAAGAAACAAGATTGCAAAACAACACTGTAGATTACTGGCCCCCTCCATTCTGAGGAGTTTAAGGTCTTCTGGGTGGTAAGAGAGGTAGTTAAACACCAACTGCAAGTATATGCAGCATGTCTCCAGCTACTATCAGGGTGCAAGGAGATGCCAGAAAGATCCAGCCATCTGGAAACCAACGTGGACCTCCTCCCATCATGTTATTTGACATCCACCTGCAAAGCATGGGTCCTCACATCCCTTACTCAGCCACTCCAGCAAGTCATCACCCCCAGCCTCTGCTGACAAAAGAGACTGTCTTTACATAGAGGGGAAGAACCAAGGTCCCCACTAGCCAGCCCAACCCCCAACCAGGGCTCCCAATCCCGGGCGTTCAGAAGCAGGCTGCTCTCTGGATGCGAGTGCAGAAAACACCTCTTCTGAGGTCAGTAGTTAGTTCCTACCCCTTTGGGGATCCTTTCGAAAATCCAGACACCCCACAAAAACTGCACCTATGCGGTCTACATGTACTTTCCCCCTGGGGGTTACTGCCCTCCTAGGAGGTCAGGAAGGGCAGAAAGAGTTACTGTGCTCAGAAGCAGCTTTGAGAAAGGGAGCCGCAGTGGTCCAGGTGAGTGCTCAACAGCGCAGTTCCTTAACAGAAAGGGAGAAATGCTTACTTCCGGCTTAACTCCTGCAAGTTCCAGTCTCTCAATTCTTTGAGATTTCAAAAAGAATTTGGAAACTGAGAGCATGCGCGCGCACGCACTCACACCAAGCATTCTGCTTCTTTGGGGCATCCTATCTCAACTTCACAAAATGTCCTGTGATTACTAGTTAGGTCTCCAAACTGAGTAACAGCAGAGACAAGGAGTGGGGGAGAAGTGGGCACTGGAAGGAAGGGGAGCTCAGACAAGGAGAAGGGGACAGTCAAGCTTTCCACCAGCTCAGAGTAGACCTTGGCAGGACAAGTCCTGACCCTTGCTGCCTGCTCTCCCTGGAAATCGGCACAGACCTGCTGACTCCTTGCAGGAAATCAAGAAGTCCAGACAGAAGCTGCCCTTTCCTTCTGAGTCTGCAGGGAGAGGACAGCATCCTCTCGTTTCTGTGGAGGAGACCCTGGCCCACCGCTTGCCCACAGCCCCCTCGTGGCCTGGGGGTGTCACTGCAGCCCCCTCTGCATTGCTGGGCACAAACCTCATGCAGGCCATTCTAACAGTGGTTCAGCAGAACACAGTCACCAGTGACGACTTGGCAACCGTCTTTAAGCTCGCAAGGCTGCACTTGCCTTTGATTTCTTAAACTAAGACTTGGACTCAAAGTGGTCCTTCTAAATCCCTCCCTGGTACAATCCCTACAGGTAACCAGTCCAAGACTTGCTTCATTAAGCCAGTAACCTCAGAGCTCCTGTAACATTACCACCGTTTTATTGATCACTCCTTCCTGCATCACATGCAATTATGTACAATTGTTCCAAAGCTCAATAGGAACATTTAGCAAGAGTGAACAACACCCTCTGGTTTGTAGGTTGCTGACTGGATTACAAAATATTTGCAGGACACCAAATACCCCCCCAAATTCTGGGTTTCCAGGTAGCAGATCCTACAGGGGTTTGGGGCTTAGGGGAACACAGTGAGAAAGAATGTGACCACAGGGTGAGTGGCTCCGCGTCTACACAAGCATACAGAGGGTGCCAATGAAGGAACCTGAACTCCACTCTCACCAACAACTCCACAAGGGAACGGAGTGGAGCTCACCTGGGCTGGGGACTGGACAGGGAGGACCAGCCTGGGGGTGAGGAGCCCTTAGTCCAGGGATGGCAGCTGAACCTGGTGGTGGCAAAGCGCAGGGAGGAGAGAAGGTGGGAAGTTGGGGACGAGAAAGGAAGGTGTAGAGTGTCTGGAGGACCTCAAGGAGACCAGGAACCAGGAGTGACGGGCCCGGAAAAGGCACGGGAGCGCGAAAGGGTCTCTTTCCCGGAGCGGGGAGACGCGGAATCCTTACCTCCTTGATTTTCTCCCGCTGGGCTCGCACTCGGCTCTGGGGCTCCTTACTCTCATCGGTCCTCGTCCCTAAGACAGGATGGCGGAGGCGGCTCCGGAATGCGTTGAAGTCAAAGCTGAACGGGACGCTCTCGTCCCCGGGCCTTTGGGCCGGGATGCCGTTGCCCCGGGCCGCCGTGGCCTCCTCCCGGGGCCCGGTGGGGCGGGTGCGCCGCAGCCACCCTTTCCTGCGGCGGAGATTGGCCCGGCTGCTGGGGTCGTCCTCGCCCGGGGCCGGCGCGGCGGGGGCCGGGTTGGGGGGCGGCTCCTGCTCGCGGGCCGGGGAATGGCCGGCGATCTCGGCCACCACCTCCACGCCGGGCTGCTGGGTCCGGGGAGTCAGGAAGAGGCGCTTGAGGCGAGAGGAGTGGGGCAGCAGGAAGAGGGCCCCGAAGCACAGGGTGACGAGGCCCGAGAGGAAGAGGAGGAAGAGGAACTTCTGCGGCAGCCGCAGCCCCCACGGGGAGGCCGGGACGAAACCGGGCACCTTCCTCATGAGCATCGTGGCCTGGCGCGGGGCTGGGGGCCGTCAGCTCCGTCCCGGGCCCCGGAGGCCCTCGGAGTCCGGGCACGTGTCCGCAGGGGACTCGGCGGGGGGAGGGCGTCCAGGAG